ACTTTTAAAAAACAAGGTCTAGTCCTGAATACAAAGGTTTAATAACTTTTCTGATAGAAAACATAATTCACAATCAGTCAGTTTTAACTTTTGGTAAAAAAGTTTATTTTCTACTTAATAATTCAAACTTAATGCAAAGCTTTTAACAACAGATTTCAAAGCTATTTTGTCACATATGCAGTCATTAAACTAAAAATCATCTAACACTGAAATTGATTTTGCTTCAGCCTTGAAAATGTTGCAGATATTGAAAGAATGACATTATGGCCAGAGGTGAAACACAAAATATTATATCCTAAAAATTATCTCCCAGAAATTTATAGGTATGTCAGATATATTGCTATCATTGGCATTTTTCAGTAACCAAAATTATGTAAGTCCAGTTGCTTAAAGAATCACAGAATTATTAAGGTTGGAAAAGACCTCCAAGATCATCAAGTCCAACCTTTGACCGAATTCCGCCATGCCCACTAAACACATCACAGTGTGCCACGTCTACTCATTTTTTGAACACTTCCAGGGATAGTGACTCCACCCCTTCCCTGAGCAGCCTCTGTTCCAATGCTTAACCACTCTTTCAGTGAAGAAATTTTTCCTAATATCCAATCTAAACCTTCCCACTGCAACTTGAGACCATGTTCTCTTGTCCTGTCACCTGTTACCTGGGAGAAGAGCCCAACCCCCACCATGCCACAACCTTCTTTTCTCCAGGCTAAACAATCCTAGTTCCTCAGGTGCTCCAACCCTTCCACCAGCTTTGTTTACTTTCTCTGGACATGCTTCAGCACCTCAATATCCTTCTTGTAGTGAGGGGACCAAAACTGAACACTGGTGCAGCCTCACCGATGCTGAGTACAGGAGGAAAGAGCTGCTTAATAGAATAAAAACATTCTGTAACTTAATGAAGTTCTACTTTTTGGGGAATCTAAGGCACATTCACTCTAGAAAAATTGCAAGTCAAACCAAGCACTTCAAACAAGCAAACAAGTGTGCACACACAGCTACAAAAAAGGCATAATTTACTATTAAACAGATAGAAGAGAAGCAAAAGCTGCATGTGAGCACATGCATTTGAGCATGCACACACGTATTAGTCCTCTCTCTTCTCTGTACACTCTCTTCCATCCACAGACACATTCTATAGTATTTAGAGACTGCCATGGGCTGACCATCAACCCAGGCCAAGACCTCTCTCTTCCATGTATGCTCTGATGCTAGATGGGCAAAAGGCCACTATTCTGAAAATCTAAAACAAAGTAATTTTTTTTATTTTCTTTTCCCTTTGAGGCTAATATTTTAGCCCATTCCAGGCACATCATTCACAATCGTTTAGAGTAATTACACAGATTATTTAACTTTTTATTTATTCAAGACATCAAGATACCATTTATACATTCCAGGATGTCATGACCAGTTGAATGTCCTTGTGAATTCAATGAAGTGCTTTATGTGTAAATTTGTCAGCACAGCTTTTTGGGTTTTGTCAGGTGACAGTAATATGGGGTCAGAGCATTCACAGGAATGAACTTATTCCTGTTACTTTAAATCTACAGTTTCTTGACCATTATACAGTCAAGTTCTGTGCAGAAGGTTTTAAGCAACTGGCATCCAGAGTCAGGTGTGAGGATACCACGAGCTGAACCCATCAGCAAGCACAGAGTATTAGCACAGCAATATACATGGTTAACACCTCTGTCAGACCGCAGCAAACCAGCCTCTAATCGCAGGCAGTCTTTGTCTCCTTTATGCAGCACAGCTTTTATGTCATCATGCATTTTAATCTTCTTTCTCTTTTAAGACCAGGTTCTCTGAAGAGATGGGAATGTGCACAGTGCAGGCAATGAGGATGTCTCACACCCAACAAGCACTGCTGCTGGGCACTTGGTGGTAGGCGTACCACAAAGAATTTGAAATCCCATTTAATGTGTTCTTTTTGACTGCATCAAACATAGGCTTCCTACTCCTCTCTTACAGGCCCTTATTAACCTGGTGTATCAGTTACTGTCACATTGTGTTACTCCTCCCTGTCTCTGCTTTGCTACTGTGACAGCTGCATGATCACAGTTCTCCAACAGTCCTTTAAGTATTTTTCCTCACCATGTTTTATACATGGATTGTGCTTCTTGAGATCCATAAGAATTGTACCACTTTCCCTTCCTCATGCTTGCAGAAGACCAGTTTCCTGGATGGCATATGAAAGAAACCAACTGGGTTGGTCCAATAAGCCCCATACATATTAGGATGAAGTATGGAGCACTCCATAGTTGTCCTTCCTACATGGTTTGACTTGTAGAGGTAAAAAATTCAATTAGCAGAATGTACAGTCTTCACCGACGTGCAATAACATATCAATGTTGTTGGGCACTACTGAACCACAATGACAATTTAGATTCTACTCTGTAATGACTCATGGACAAACTGATCCCAGGAACACATCTTAGGAAGATCTTTTAGATCAGGATCTCATCTTTTTCAGTGCAATTATGCCACGCAGTTGGCGTAAGTATTTCTTTTCTCCTTGTTTAGTTGTCTTGCATTTGAAGCATTCCTTTCCACTAACCATGAGAAAATGTGATTGATTCTGTGATGCATCTAAAAGTCCTATAGAACAGTAGGTAAAGATTACATAGGGAGACATTTTTGCTGGTTTTTATAAATACATACACATTTTTGTCTGCTGATGGCTGATTCTTTGACTTCATCTATTTGAGCCTAAATTCCAATTTGGTGATGGCTGACATTCCCCAGGAACTTATTCCCAAATGGATAGCACAAATTGGGTGGTTCATTTAAAATAAAGAATAAGATTAGTGTTTATCCTCTCAGTAAAGAAAATGTCTGAAAAAATGAAACTGTGCCCTGCATGATCTTTTATATTAGTATGATGAGTTATTAGTATACATAGTACATTACTATGATGGGACAGACAAAAAATTGAACAAAAGAGTAGGTGTACTTGGCTCTGGATCTACCAGAATAGGTGTGAAAGTAGTTCTCAAACCAATGCCAACAGGAGAAAAAGAAACAAGGATGTCTATTCCCGTTGCTCAGCAGCAAGAAATATGAGGGAGTCAAAGTAATTGTTTAGGACTCCTCCCTTTCAGTGTTGTAAGTCTCTAGCTCACAGAGCACAGTTCTGCTCCAATCTAAAGCTGTATTTCCAAAACACTGTGATAGCAGGGAAGATAAAGGATGATAAGTAGGTGTTGAATTTGTGCCTTATAAGATACACTCATCACTTACTAGACTGCACGCACAGGAATTTTAAGGGTATAAACTCCCAATTTTGTTGCAGTGCGTAGCTGATGTTCAGTGTGAAAGATGGTTTCAAAGGCTGCCTGAAGCTTTAAGATTAGGCTGATGTGGGGGTCCCTCTTCTGTGACTGGTTATTTGAAACTGAATCTCTACATTTTCATTATTTCCTTGCATATAAAAAGGGAAAAGAGTTAGTGTTACCATGCAATCTCACATTTAACAAGAAAACTAAACATTTCCACTTAATATCTCCTCTGACAAGTTCATTTGTCTTGATTTTCTCATGAAGTTCTGTTACCTATTCTATGTAATAAATACATACAATTTTCTTCATGAGTGGATTGTGGCATGTAGCAATCTTTCATTCTGGCATGCTCATAATAATTCTTCACAATAATTGTAAAGACATCAGAAATCAATCTTTCTCACTTTCACACAAAACAGTGATTTAGGACAAGAACAGGAATTATTCACCTTCTTGTTATAGCTTAAAAACAAAACCCTTAAAGATGCATTGCATTAATACAACAAAATTTTATTATTTTTAAGTTTCATTTTACTCTAAAGAAGAAAAGGGTTTTAATTTGGGTGAGAGAGTTATAAGGAAGAAAAATAATTATAGTATTTATTCAGAGAAATTTCTGAAACAAACTAAGGAGAGACTTTCAAATTCATGCTCAGTTCTTCAACAATTTTCTTGCAAATTTTATACTAGAAAGCTACGTATTCTCTGCTTTACACACACATGAACACCACTGCCATACAATGGCCAGATTCTTCTCCATTTGCCATGTAATCAAGCACCATGGGTGGGAGCAAGATTCTTCCTGACTCAGTCAATGTAAAAATTGAACCAGAAGAGAGATCTCAAGTCCAAAATCTATTAAGGAGATTCCTTAACAGAAAGCTAATAATCAAATGGACAAGTGGGAGCACAAGTTGTGCATGCAGAAAGATGTCTTTAGTCCCTTACTGCAATATGCCCTGCAATGCTCTGCTGTCATTTCATGTTGCTGCAATACAACTATGCACAGTACAAACACAGTTATTCATGCACTGCTCTGCCTCAGCTGTTTGTATGCTATGGTCACTCAACCATCTCCATTACTTTCTATCTATAACAGTAAACCAAATAAAACTAATGCACAAAGAGTGATGAGCTAGGATCCACAAGTGCTAAACACTGCATATAAAAATGGTATAATATAGCATTAGTGACTTGCCTAGCAGTTCTAAGGAACTCAATTTGAAAGAGCATACATACACACTAGATTTAAAAATTAGATCTCCAGTGAGTTTTCAAGAGCAAAGACTTTTCACATATTTACATAGAAGAAAGAAAATCTGAAATGCCAAAGCAGACATTGCCTACTGTTGAAGAAAGCAAATCTGGTTCTACGATAGCAACAAAACTATTACTGTGAAGTACCAATGTTTGGCTAGTAAAGATGTCCAACAGAGAAGCATGAATGGCTTTGGAGGCACTTATAGGACCTACTGAAGAAACACTACAAATACTGATTACAGAAACCTTTATCCTATATTTCTTACCATGCTACAGACTTTCTATATCCCCTAAACTAGACATTGGAGAAGAGGATCTCAGAGATATATGGCAAAGCCACGAAACAAAGACACTGTGGAACTGGATTACGTGGCAGCAGGAGGATGGGTGCAGGAAATAGTGAGCATTTGAAGGCAAGAAAGCCTTGGGCTTGCACTTTGACAAAGGACATTTTGTTTAAACAACTGAGAAGTACACTCTGCAGCTCAAGGCATTGCTTCCTATGAAACATCCAGAACTGACATGGAGCGTTTTAGTAAGCAAAACATTACACTGCTGTTAATTTTATACAATGTGCATAAATGGCATCTAGTGTTTTAAACAACATAGTATTTAGCAAAGATAATTAAATATATAATTTCCCCCTTTCTTTCCACAGTATTTAAAAGAAGCAGTACTTGCCAAATACTAAGCCAAACTTGAAAGTCAAAGGCCAAACCACTTGCATTATGGTGTTCTACAAGAAAACTTGCTAAGCAAAACATTCCACAAATACTGTTATTCCATTTTGAACAACTCAGTATGTAAAACATGTCTCATCTTACTCATCTTTTATCCTTCAGAAGAAATCTTCTGTAACACGAAAATCAAACTACATGAAATCACAGATGGAATGGAATTGTTTTGGAAAACTGGTAAGCAGATACTACGGCCTACAGATTCATGCTCTATCACTTTACAGTGGAGGGAGCATACCTCCTTCACTTAAACACAAATGTTGAAGAACAATACAGCACAGCAACCAAACTGGAGTTTATCACAGATGCAGATATGGAAATATTTTAGAGAAGAAAGATCAGAACTATTAAATAATAGTTATCAATACTCGCCAGCTCCAAAATAATGTTAAAATCTGTCATCTTTCTTTCAGTAAGGAGCATGTGCACTCGCTCAAAAAAATAACAATTATTTTGTTTCAAAATCATGAGTTATGAGCATCCTGATAAAAGCATTGGAAGATTATTAGCTTATGCGACCATGTTTAGATTCTGGGGTGTTATTGGGATCTCTGAGGTTATCAGTAGTGAAGGTTAAAACAGAAGCAAGTTAAAATGGAAAATATAGTATGACCTAGAGGTTGAACACAGGAAGAATTTGTTGTGCATCCAATGTTAGGTAGAGACCAGAGAGGAACTATTAATCTGAAAAACCTGGCTATAAAATGAAGAGAAATTCAAATAACAGGGAACAATGTATTTTATATCAACTAGTTCATATCACTTATTGCAACCTGAGAGCATCCATGAAGAAATCTTAGTAGATTTATTCAACAGTCATTGACATGTGCAAACTACTGCTTGCAGATAAATAACAGCCATATTTATTGTTATTAGTATGAACATTTGGCCTTATTTTTGATAGAAAGTCTGTTTTTCTGAAAAACGTGTTTTTTTCTGGAATTTATTCACTATTACTTAGTTACATAGCAAGATGACAATCTTCTCTTTGTCTATAAAACACTTGTTTGGTTATGAAAGAAATATTAGATCCTGCATTAAAGCATTCTAAGTACTAGTCTGTCTGAACTAAGAGGGGAAAAAAAACTTGAGCTCCTTAGACAGACCTCTGTCTAGTCTCATGCAGGAGACTGCTGACCTGAGTACCCAAGAAAGCAGAAGGAGCCAGGCCTCCAGCATGGTCCCTGGCACAGTCCCAAACAGGACTGTTCCCAAACAGTGGTATGGCTGAGGCCACACTGCTGGCTGCAGGAAAGACTTAGCATATAAACACAAGCTCTACTGTGGCACTTTCCCATACTCATCTTATTTACAAGTTATCCACATAAAATGAGTTTAAAGGAATTGGTCCATCAGTCTAACTACTCGATACCTTGCTCGTTCTTCCTCAACTGCGCGGGCAACGGTCCATTAAGATGAATTTGATTTATATTTCAATACCAATCTCTGGTTTACGTTTCACATATCTGAAACAAGGTAAGCCTAAGTAGCTGAAAAACTACAACGATTAATTTTATTGATACAAAAACACATGCAGAATACTTTCCAAAGATAATACTAAAATAACAGGAAAATCCACAATTTCCCATAAAGGGGCATATACAGTAATTCATGAACTCAAAACACATTTATAACTCTCCTACTTTCTAAAGAGGTTGCAATGTAACTTTTCCAGCTTGTGCAATTTAAAAATAATTACTCTGTACATTTTAGTTTATAAAATGCAGTCAAGAAATTGCAAGGAGATCTAAACAAACACAGAAATGAAACACAGATGAAACCTCAATAGTCAGCTAACCCATCTATCTAAATCATCTATGCACTGCCGCAGTATGAACTACACCTCTATTCCTGCAAGGAAAGGTCTCACCTTTCCTTAAAACTTCTGAGATTACACAACATTCCTGAGCAGTTTAGTCTATTGCTTTACTAAGTGCTTAATTAGAAAGTTTGCCCCAAAGCATAGCCTAAATATTTGTGTGTGTGAAAATTAGGCCAATCACTATTGTTTATTTCCTTCATTCCCTGTCACCTCCTTGGGACAAATATTGAGAACCCTCTCTATAGCAACCTACTGCAGAGCACAAGGCTTAGGTACTTATTCCTACCATCACCTCTCTCTCCCTTCTCTTGCCTTCTTTCCTCCCTTCCTCCACCACTTCAAACTTTGCCTTACAGTATGCACCTACTAAATCTCTTCTTCTTTTATTAAGCTTAGTGTTAAAGTGTTATGACAAAACAGCTTAAGCATGGTCATATCTAAAACCTGGTATGACATTAATTTGCAACAGTTTGCCTATTTCTGTAGCTTAGCTCCATAAATGGGCTCTGAAAAATTCATATTCAACCTCTGAAAGAGTTATGGCAAACATGCAATGCAACTGACAGAAGAAGAAGGTCCACAGGCACAATCTGTCACTAGAACAGCCTAAACAACTGAAACAGGAAGGAGGCAGAAGAGCTTCTGAGCACACAAGCTCTTCTTCAGATCTGCATCAAAACCAACAAAGCTCAGGGTAACAACAGGTCAGGAACAAGTACTCCAAGTATAACATCACGATGGTATTTTATCAGATATTCTGAACAAAATCAGTGGTGAGAAGTGGAAGTAAATATGCATGCTCTCTACGCATCCCTAAGCCTGTATTAATGCATCATTTTTCTACAGGAACTTTTCTCAAATTGCCAGAAAATATAAAAGGAGACTAGACAGAACAAATTAAACTTGTTTATGGGACTGTCCCATTTGCAACAGAACTTGTGAAGTGCACAGCAAATAAGCTATGCAAGAGAAACTAAAGGAAGCTGGATCACTCAATTATGGATTGGGTGAGAAACAGCTTTTATCACTAACTTTCCACAGACCCAAAAGTGTTGTGAGGCAAGTAATTGAGATCAGTTCTTCATACTCAAGAATTAAAGAGTCAGCAGGGCCCTGGCAGCCAGGAGGGCCGACTGTGTCCTGGGGGGCATCAGGCAAAGCATCGCCAGATGGGCGAGGGAGGGGATTGTCCTGCTCTGCTCTGCACTGGGGCAGCCTCACCTTGAGAACTGTGGGCAGTTTTGAGCATCTCAGTACAAGAAAGATCTAAAGCTATTACAGACTGTCCAAAGAAGGGCTACAGAGATGGTGAAGGGTTTAGAGGGGGAAGCCATATGAGGGGAGGCTGAGGTCACTTGGTTTGTTCAGCCTGGAGAAGAGGAGACTGAGGGGAGAACTCATTGCAGTTATAATTTCCATGAGAGAGGAAGAGGAGGAGCAGGCACTGATCTCTTCTCCACGGTGAACAGTGATAGAACCCAAGGGAATGGCCTGAAGTTGTGTCAGGGGAGGTTTAGGTTGGATATTAGAAAAAAGTTCTTCATCCAGAGGGTGGTTGGGTGCTGGAACAGGCTCCCCAGGAAAGTGGTCACAGCACCAAGCCTGACAGAGTTCAAGAAGCATTTGGATGACACTCTAGGACACATGGTGTGACTCTTGGGGATGGTCCTATGGCTAAGAGTTGGATTCGACAATCCTCGTGGGTCCCTTTCAACTCAGGATATTCTACAAAACACATGCTTTCAGCAGGACTAGACTGAAGCACAGCATTCTCCCTAATCCAGTGGCTATAAGGTACTACAGCTCAGTGCACCATGACCATATTGTTATACAGCAAAGGATTTGAGCATTACAAGGATGGTAAGTGTAAGAGGAAAAACAATATTCTCTATAAGGACTGGGGAGTACAGATTATACAATGCAATTGTGCAAGATCGAAAAATAAAGACGGGAGCTTGTTCTCAGCAATTAGCAATTGAGGCAGCTGCTATTACAGAACATGGCTGAAAAGGCACGGCTGCAGAGGAAAGCTTCGTGAAACAGAAGTGGTGACTGCCTTGCAAGGGGAGTATGAAGTAAACAAAGGGCATGTCCATTCACACAACAATGCACAATACATGTCTGCATCCGTGAATGGCTGCAGCCCTGTGGACATCAGCACAGTCCTACGATCCCCCTCAGCAGGCTGAACTTAGGGAAGATATTCTGCTTCTCTGACCTCCAGTAAGCTACAACGTGCCACACTGATGTGCTGCCACAAGCTTTGGTGCCCCTTCTTCGCTGTGCTCTGTTCATGCAATGTAGATACACCCTCAAATTCTAACAGCACTTTTTCTTCTGGTTTTCCTCACTGTGACAATGACAGCCTGAGTGCTAACTGAATTTAACTGAATTTATTAGATACTAGTCAGCTATGTCCCTGTTTACTTAAAAAATGTGACGTATTGGGCATTTTAAATTTTGGATTGACTACATGTGTGTGACGAAGAACAAAGATGAATTCAGCATTATTTGAATTCAATTGGGGATTATTCATTACTCAGAACAAGCAGAACCAGTAACTCTGCTTGAAGAACTGGAATTAATGGTTCATCAAAAAAAGTTCTTTATTATTCTTTCTTCTGTCACTATCACTTGATATGCTTCTACAACAACACTGCATCCTACCTGAGCATTTCCAAGGGGAATTTACAGTTACTTCATTTCTCATCATTATTTTTGGTACAACCCCATCTTATGCCTTACTGCATAAAAGAGAATAGCACTTCATTTCAGTAAGCTGCCTTTCTCTGACAATTTTTAACATGCCACAGGAAAGTGGGTGCCAATCTTTTTAAGAAAAACTCAATATAACTGAGTTGACTGAAAAATCACAAGTGAAATATTGTTTCTAGGGACATCTTCTATTCTTGGCTAACAGTATTGATTTGCTCTTCCTAAATACTAGTTTATATTTAACCATTGTACTCAATATCACCTATGTTCTTCCATACGTGTAATTTCAGAAAGCAATTAGCTATTCCTTCACTAACAGGACTACCATGGTCTAAATGCAGTAAAATTCACAGTGTTTCTTAAGTAGGTTGTCACATTTTCTATGGAAATTATTAAACTGAAAGCTAGCAGTGATATATGTAAATGCTACTGTGGGTGTGACTAATCCACAGTCCACACAATGGTTCAGAATAATGAAGACCGAAACTTCTATTTTGTCACTTTCTTCCTAATGGCACCTTACACAAAGATGAAGAATAAATTGTTCTGGCAAACTTGCTCTCAGATTTTCCCTTTTATGAGGGCTGTGCAGATCCTCCCTCCTCCTATCTGAAGGGATGCCACAACGCACCCGTACGGCAGGCAGAGGCATGAGCCCTGTGCATCAGACACAGGGGAGAGCCGAGAACACCCATCTCCATAGGTACATGACAGGGGTGCAGCCAACTAGGGCAGGAAGGGCCATGGGACAGTCGCACCTTAGGGACAGTCCTGTAACCTGTAATCCTGTAACATGACCTGTGTGTAACGAAGCGTGAAGGCGTGTGTCCGGTCTCTGATGCGATGACACTGTCCTGCTCCCAGCAGTCAGAAGCCTTGGAGGCCTGAAGACAGCCCACCACTGGTGTACTCACTATTCACAATGATGCTGTAAGGTACTCACTAACTTGTGTGTGAAGTGTTTCACTCTGTGTATGAAGTATTTTAGTTTAGAAAAGACCTTTATGATGACCAAGTCCACCATCACACCATGTCCCTAATGCCACATCTACATGTCTTTTAAACATCTCCGGAGACGGTGAATCAACCACTTCCCTGGGCAGCTTCTTTCGATGCTTTGACAACCATTTTGGTAAAGAAATATTTCCCAATATCCAGTCCAAACTTTCCCTGGCTCAATTTGAGGTCATTTCCTCTTAACCTGTTGCTTGTTACTTGAGAGAAGAGACTGCCCCCCAGCTGGATACAACCTCCTGTCAGGTAGGTGTAGAGAGTGATAAAGTCTCCCCTAAGACTCCTTTTCTCCAAGTTAAACAGCCACAGCTCCCTCAGCCACTCCTCATAAGACTTGTGCTCCAGACCCTTCACCAGCTCTGTCACCCTTCCCTGGACACTCTCCAGATCCTGAATATCTTTCTTGTAGTCAGGGACCAAGAACTGAGCACAGGATTCAAGGTGTGGCTTCACCAGTGCCGAGTACAGGGGAACAATCACCTCCCTGGTCCTGCTGGCCACACTATTCTTGATAAAAGCCACGATGCCACTGGCCTGCTTGGCCACCTGGACACACTGCTGGCTCATGTTCAGCCGGCTGTTGACCAGCACTCCCAGGTTCTTTCCCATTCAGCAGCTTTCTACTCTGTCCCCATCCTGTAGCATTCCATGAGGTTGTTCTGACTGAAGAGCGGGACCCAGCATTTCACCTTGTTGAACCTCACACAATTGGCCTCGGCCCATCAATCCAGCCTCTCCAGATCCCTCTGCAGAGCCTTCCTGCCTTCCAGCAGATCAGCAGTCCTGCCCAATTTGGTGCAAACTGACTGAGGGTGCACGTGACCTCATTCAGATAATTGACAAATATATTAAACAGGAGTAGCCCCAGTCATAAGCCCTGGAGAATACCACTAGTAACCAGCCACCAGCTGTATGTACCACCATTCACCACCACTCTCTGGGCCAAGCCATCCAGCCACATTTTTTTACCCCACAAACACTACACCCATTCAAAGCATGAGCTTTCAGTTTCTCCAGGAGAACATTGTGGGAAACCATATCAAAGGTTTTACAGTCTAGGTAGACAACACCATAGACTTTCCCTCATCCACTAGGTGGAAGAGGCTTACAAATTCATCAGTGCATTTTGATTAAAAGATTTACTTATTTCTGAAAATTCTAAAACAACTGAAAAAAATCATAGGTTTCCCATGAAGTGTTTCCTCCTGAGTTTAACAGAAAATATTTCTAACCTGTAGAAATTCTTGCTGGAAAATATTTAAATAATAGCAAGGCTTGAGTAGACATGAACTAAAATGACTTCTTTACCAATTCAAATTAACTACCATATGTCTTAAACAATTCTATTATCATGGCTTTTGGGCATCTCAAGCAATTGAGAAAAAAGAGAATGTTGCATCTTCTTTGTTTTCTTATAACTGTTTTGTAAGTCTAACATTTGTCAAGTTAAGTAAAATGAGTTTTGGTTCTTCGAGAAACTTTCATACTTCCATAAAAAGAGGTGGGAGAGACAAGCCACAAAATATAGCTCTGTTCTTATAAGAAATTACCACAGTACATAAGTGTACATAGAAAAATAATTTTAATTTACGCACCTGCTAAATGAATTAAACACTTTGTTTTCACAGGGCATAAAAATCGGCCTCCTTCTTTCTCAGCCTTTCCTCTTCAGCTAATCAGCCATGCACCTCAAAGTGACAGCTCCTTGCAGTGTGTGGTAAGACAAAAAATATTTCCAATTTCAACAATTGCAAATTTAAAAAAAAAAAAGGTTCAAAGTAAAAAAAAAAAAAGTTGCACTGAGATCTTCTCTAGTGTCACATGAGATTCTCTCTCTTTCTCACTTAGGTTGATGGCTGACGCAGTAGGTGCATAATGTAAGCATCCATTTACTTATATTGTGCTTCTCTTTTTCTTTAGAGAGCTTTGTGGAGAAGGTGGCAAATAAGTAAAGTTACTTCTCTTTCCCATTTGGTTGAGAGAACAATATTTAAAACTTCATTTATTTCCTTTCCACAGGTTGAACGCGGTATTTTGAAGTTCGATATCGACTGGGGAGAGCAATGAGGAAGTTATGTCTGTTGTTAATATGTCCTTGAGTCTATCTACCATGTCTTAGGTTAAGAAGGCTAACTCACTGCAAACTTAGTTAGGTCTTCTTTGCTCTGTCAGAAGCTTAAGCAGATACCTAACTGAAGTAACTTTATAGACTTATCTATTTCTTAATTAAAAAATTATACATTTGTATATAATACTAGTAAATGAGTATAAAATAGCCTCTGTAAATATTATCTATCAAGTATAAATTTAAGCTCATTATGCAGCAAACCCATGCTGGTTTTGTTGCATTAGTCTAAACTCCTGCCAGTATTTAATGAGATAATTTACTTGTTTATCTATCTGTCATGGTTTAAAGGAAATTAAAATTTATCTCATCCACAGCAAGAAACTATCTGTCTATATTCAGAAACTGCCTCTCTTGGCCACCTCAGCTTGTTCAGGAATTTCTTCTAATTTTTCACCTCATGAACATATTCACAGCTTTCTTTTCCACTTCATGCTTCTTCTACCTCCATGTTCCGCTTTTTCCCCCATCCAAGTCTCTTGATTGCCTCAACAGTTGTTATCCCTTCTCTTCATCTCATTGCCACCAGATTTTAAAGGAAAAATTGAGGATTAGCTACTTACAGCTGTGTCATTGTTCATTCTAGCTGTACTAAGTCTTTTTAATCTCCTTTTCTTGCTAAACTCCTCTATTTAAGACTATGATATTTATTTTCTCTGTGCATAGGCTAGAACAACAAAGTGCATTATTAACTAGCCCATGTGTAGCTATGTCATCAGCACTATGGTCTATGTGTATTTTATGTACAGAGCCCACATTGCATATACACACATAGACATGAATAAACATACATAAGGGATACTATACTAGGCACCTCAACAGATTTTAAGAATCAGAATTCAAAAACAATTAATTGATCCTAGCTTACTTATGCCTTTATTTTCTACATACCAAGGACAGTACATTAATATATTCACAGCATGTTAACAGGAACAGCTGTTAAATAATAAATGCCTTACTGTATTATTTTCAGTGGGTGCTTCACCAATTAAACTCTGGCTGCCTAATTTCCAGCTCAGTTAGGAAAAATAACTATATCTTATGCAACCTAGTAAAATACTAGGCATTACCCAAAGAATAACAGAAATATCAAGATATCCACTGTAGAGAATTACTGTTCTCTGTGAGGAAATGTGTCATCTGGCTTCTCCCTGCTTATCATTGCAAGAGCTCAAAAAGCAGCTTTTAGCAGAATAGTCTAGGAGCCTTTGCTGCAGATATCATTGGATGTTTTGCCTCAGCTGGTATCAGCAGTTCAGCTCTTTCTCTATCCCATCACTGGTTCAAGGCAGACACTACTTCCCCTTTTTCAGATATAGTTATTCGGGAGCCACAGTCGGAAACCCAATGCAAATCAATACAAAAACCCCTCTTGTATTTCTGTTTTATTAAAATCAATGCACCCTCGGGCAGCAGAACTAATAGGTCTGTGCCAGGGAAGTAGAGACAACCAGTGGGCAGCGGTGTGAGAAGGGCAGGGACCCTGAAGTGACAGACTCTCAGAACAGTCTGCAGGATCACTAGATCAGATGCACATCAAACCACATGCTATAGCTAGCTAACTCTCCAAATATCCATCACCAACTTGGAATAATGTTCAACAAAAGCAAATCTTCAAAAACATGCAAAAATCAACAATCTTGCACATTTCAAATTTTAAAATAACTCTTAGCCAAACTGCCTAAAACTAAGAGAAATTCATTTTTGAGAAAAAAACCCCTACCTTTCATTTGGTCTGTCTCTTGTTTCCGAAACTTTGGTTACAGAAGCTACCAAGCATAAAAAAAAACCCAACAGCTACTATCCAGCTTTTCCACTTGCAAGGTATCCTGACTACCTTAATCTACCCAAACAATTGTGCAATTAGAAAAAAAACTATCTAAAAATATGGTTAGGACTGCAAACGTCCCTGTGAAATGTTTTTATTATCAGCACAATAAGTCTGAGTTATATTTTTAATTTCATATTTGATCAATCACATTTCTTAAATGCATTGTACCTCTCCAGTACTCATTTACCATTTAAGAAGAAAAGAAAGAACTATCATCTTCCACAGACTTTCTTGTTTGAAAAATAGTTATTTTAACTATTAAAGCTACCAGCAACTTAATAAAATAGTACATACAGTAGACTGCAGTATTACCTTGTTCCGGCTTGAAATGTATTCACATGATTTACATCTGGACAATACCATACAACCTGACTCATTATTCTGAATAAGATAACTATTTTATTTCTCCACAACAAGACCAAAACACATGAAATAATAATTGCCCACAGAAATTATTTCCCCAATAATTGCGCAGAAATTTCAGCCTTATAACGTTTTTAGTTTCATTTCAAAAAGAAATGTTAATTTAATGTTAAAGAAACATTAAAAATAACTGGGCTTTTTTGTGCATGTACTAGCTTTTCAAACAATCAGACTCTCCTACTGAAGTGCAAGAGCTTAGCACACATCTGTTAGGGCTGCATTCATTAAAGTCAGCTATCAATCAGTCACAGTAGAACTTTCCTTAAAAACATGAAATGTGATTTGCACAGAGCCCTGCTCACTGTTACTGAGTGATAGTTAACGAACCACTCCTTTCGTTTCAAGCTACAGTACCTCATAAAGTACTGTCATTACTTAAAGCCCGAGAATATTTGGAATTCATTACATTTTCCTACTTTGTGCTACATACGTGAGGGTGGTGAGGCACCAGAACAGGTTGCCCAGAAAAGCTGTGGATGCCCCATCCCTGAAGTGTTCAAGGCAAGGTTGGATGGGACTTTGAACAACCTGGTCTAGTGGAAAGTGTCCCTGCCCATGGCAGAGGGGTTGGAACTAGATGATCTTGAATGTCCCTTCCAACCCAAACCATTCCATGATTTTATGATATACCATATCATGCACCAATCCTGCAAATGCAAACTTCCATTTTTCTACATAGTTCCTTAGTAATCCTGAGGATTTCCACTAATATTTTTATATTGACAAGGAACTATCTGACTGAGGTTGTAACCAGCAAAATTAGAAGTCTGGATAGACTTACTGCATTATCAAATATGAACTTTATTACATTTATTATTTAAAAATGACCTGAAGTTGAAAACAAACTCTTATGAGTCTATCATGAGTTTCATTTCATTTAGTGGTGACTTTTGTGCCATATTTTCAGATTCATAGTACTTTAAACAAACAAGATTCAGGTTCTGGGCCTCATGCTTCAGGATAAAAAGGTCTAAATACTAAGCCTGCAGGATATGACACAGCAGAACAATAAGGAGAGGCCAAGAATATTAATTTTTAATTAACTAATTAATTTAATTTTTAATCTATGTAATTTGGAGGGATCTGTTACATGTAATGGAATAAGGTAGAGCCCTCTGAGCCAGCAAGAGCCAACTTAATTTGAAGAAAACACCAATCAGCCCCAAGATGGGCAGGTGCACTCCTAGGACAACACGCCACCACCACAGCAATGGCACTTCTAGACCCCATCTGCCAGCTCTGCCGAGCAATGCACCATGTACACAAACCAGCTCAGTTCGGAAGAACAGTGAGATTTTTTGCAAAGTTGTACATTTCTTCATGCATAGCGATCACCAAATTGCAGTTTCAGGTTGTCTATAAAGTAAGGTAACCCTGCATCACATTATACTCAGGTCTTGCTTTCAGTTCAGTTCTGTTAGGACTAAAATTATTTTCTCTAAAGGAAAAAAACACCTTAGGTTTTTAGTAAGTTTCACAGCAACAAGAAGGGTTCATGCAAGTTCTGTGACCTGAAACCTTGGCTACAGTTTTTAGTAAAGCAGATAATAAATTAGAGGTTAACTCAAGTCAGTCATCTTTAAAGAACTCTGACTAATGTCATATTACGTTTTACATGACAATCACTGTCAGCATTGTTTCAACTATTATGTAGACAAATGAAATTCCATCCAACTTACCTGACGCGCGTCTGGTGAATCGGTTTATCGCTGGAGCTGAAAAAAAATACATTTTGTTTATTTTTGTAGTGGTGTAATACACTTAACACATAACAAAGTTATACTTCATTCCAAGTGTTAACCATTATTTTTGTATCTTTAGAGAAACCCACCTTAAATTCACAGAGAAACTTTGAAGCAGCTTTGCAAGAGATGGTACATAGTAACTAGTAAGCTTTCAAGACCATTTTCAGCTTTCTAAGAGTTACTGTTACTTATTGCTGTTCTTGACCGGATGTGAAACATTCAGATCTGCATTTTTTATTATTTGTTGAGTGTACAGTAACTGGCATCTTGCAAACAATAACGCAAGCAGGGATTAAAAAAAAAAAACATGTAGAAAAATCTACTCTACTTTTACAAAATGAAGCTATTGGAAATATGGCACCAACGATACTCCTATAGAGAGAAAGACAAATTTGCAAACCCATCTAAAAGACTGACTTTTGCTTTGGCTAACCTTTAGAACTCCTTGGGTAAGTCAATAACAATGCCAACCCCCACCAAACCCCAGTGCAAATGTTTCATAGTGCCATCCTGGCACATCTCCAACTGTATGCTGCAAACATTTGTAATCAGACTCCTGTCTTGTTTCCAACTGGGATACACTGCAAAATGCAACTTAAAGCACATGTCTTGGTATCTATTTCATTTCTAGGTTTACCAACTTCTTCAAGAGCTACTGGAGATAAAATAGATAAAGTTTTATGTTTTGCCTTCCAAATACAACCTTTGGTCTTCTCCTAATTAGTATAAAACACTGGTCTAGAACTCTACTTTCATGTGATATATTAACTGCTGGGATAAACAGCAAGAAGAAATCCGAATGACCTAATTTCAAATGTGGGCAGCAGCTACATTAAAAATGTATGCCTTTACAGTGCTTATTAATATTCAGCCTTAAAAATTGCTCTTCATGTTTACACAGAATTGAAACAGGAATATTATCAAACTTTTTTATTTTATCCCACTTAATTTTACATGGCAGTTATGCATCATTTCTTGAACATCTAAGCCAAGATAAAGAGAAAAAAAATTGCTGAGAAAACAGGAGAGGCAGTAACAGCCTGAGGCACAAACTGATTTCTTATTCCTCTGGGGATGAAAAACAGAGGAAAGCTACAGTTTCTGAACCACAGTCGCAGACGGTTTGTGCAAACAGATACAGTAGTGA